GTTCGTAATCTGACAACTGGGATTGATGTCGTGTTATTTAAAGCTGTTTAAAAAGATATTACATTCCTAAAAACATATAATTTTTTTTATAATTTGCTTAAAACAATTATTAGGCGAGTATGGTTTTTACTTAGTTATGTATGGGCTTTAGGATAAAGCGGAATTGGGCGAACGCCCAGGGCGCTTGACAGAAAGGAAAGTCTGCGGATTACAGTCTCCCTCTCATAGCTGGTAAAAGAAGGAGTGCTGTAGAAATATCGCACAAGGCGTTAGTAACGATAAAACTGACATTGGTCATGTACAGAGGTTTATAAGCTTGGCTAGAATAGATTGACGTTAGTTATATGTGATTTATACACAGGAAAAAGTTCCGTTCTTGTTAGCTACAACTTAATGTCGAACAAAAAGAAATCTCTCTTGTACAAAGGGCAACGTGCAATAATAAAATCCAGATACAGAAAGCGTAAAGGAACTTTTACGTTTAATTTTTTCGCCTTTACTAAAGATAAAATCAAGTAATACACTCGTATAGGTTTTTTTCTACCTTTCATTTGTTTCATTTACTTTTTATTTTTCCTGTAGGAATAAAACTTGACATCCATGTCCATTACATTCCATGTTATGATTACGTATTCAGCGCGTGTTTTACTACTTTTTCGGACGCCGTGGTTTTATTTACCACCTTTTTTACCCTGGCATCAAATTACCAGAAACGTTAAGTTCGAATTTATAAACTTTTTCATATAAATGTTTTTAAGATTATTTGACGATTTTCATCTTTTAATATGTAACATGAAATGAACTATGAAAACAAAAGTATTTGTCTAATTTTTATTTCCGATTTTCTTACAATTCATGTGCATGTCTTCAGTAATAAAATAGTTCTAAAACTGCTGGTTTATTTATTTAGATGTCTTGATGCATGTTAACGCCGCGGAAATCGTATTAAAAGTTAACGGAAACTTGTATGTTTGTAGAAACAATAGCATTAACTGTGATTCTTTTATTTATAAATGTTTTTCACAACTATATATAATTTTTTATCGTATTTTAGACAACTTAAAAAAAGTTAAGTCTGTCAATAGATAAAAATATAAGATCATTTACCAGAAAACTTAGGAATAATTTAGTCACCAACATTTTACTAAATTTTTTATATTTTAAAATACGGGCATAAACATTAAGCATAGAATAACAAAAGTTCCATTTACGTAATGTACATTTCGCGTATTTTTTGAATATTTCAGAAAGCGTTAATCTAGGAATAATTTATCGAAGAGCTCTGGAGAGTTTCGTTTAAAACATGCTGTCGCTCTCGACTTTGACCGCACATAATTAGAAAAAACCTTAATTACTAACCTATGCGTTTTTACAGACTACGCTGTACATCTATGACATCTATTTCACAAAAATCTGTCGATCTGGAGACACGTAGAAACAAATATCCATCCATTTATCAAAATTTTCGCATTTACATATAATATTAGTAACATAAAAAACGACAAATGGTAGTAAAATAGCCTTTCGTTTAAAAGACAAAATATGAAATTCTATGAAAGGTCATGATTGTTATGTTTTTACCGTTTTTGCGATTTTTTATATTTTTGCAACTTTTAACTATAACATAAGTTTTTAGCATCAGTTCTGTCGTATATTATAAACTGCATACAGAATAGTAGTATGAATGTGTCAAATTTATTTCATAGCGCTATTTAAAAAATAATAAATTAAAACTCCGTCCCTCCTACACTCGTGTCACATCAACAAACAGAATATTAGTCCTGTTTCTGACATCAAAGCCTGAAAACATTCATTAAGGCGTATTTAAATATTTACCAACGGAGACAGTGCATTACTAAACCAAACATAATTCGACAAAATGATTGCGTAAGACAAAATTACGTTCTATAAAATATCACGGTAGGTTCACACTGTCTAAAGATATACTTTGTTTTTGTTGCCATGGGACCTAAAATGAATATATTATTAAAAAAACAATAACCTGTTTTATTATTTTTCTTTTAAGAATTATTAGTTTCCATAAAACATTATTACTCAAAACAATTACTTACAATCTCCCAGGATTTCCACCCTCCAGTTTTTATTTGAATTATTAATGGATCTGTATTTGTTAAAGAAACCGCTTTAATAATTACTCAATTTCTTTTAAGAGGACAATTTATTTTTGTTTGAATAATCGTTAATATTAATAATAATTATTAATACCCATAACTACTTAATTATTTGTAATAGATAGTTAAAAATAGCTACAATAACTTAAAATATTTGGTATAATTATTTAATGAAACGAGTAGTTTGTTTTTCAATTTATTTCTTTAACTCACATTATACTGTTTTCAAATCAAAATAAGTTGACGAAGAACGTTTATTTTTAAATGCTGTTTCATCTTTGAGAGTTTATTAACTCCATAAAGATTAAATTAACGGTTTTAGGAATTTTCCTGGAATTCTAAATAACCGTCCGCGTGGGTCGTTTCATTTCGCTCCATGCAAACAGTGTAGTGATGGATCCAAGGGAAGTTAAATGTTTAATTTAAGGGGAATGGTGCTAATTAAGAAGAGCCAATTTCATAATTGAGTTAACTGTCAACTTAATTTAGATTAATATTCGATTAATTAATGCATAAAAGCTTCAGAATTTTTTTGTAACTGAAAATCGAAACAATACTCAAAAAAAAAATTATTTTCTTAATTAGCTCTTAGAACCTTCTTCAAAGGACTGCCAGGCTTGACGTTTATTTAGTTTCAAGAAATACCAACAGCTATTTATTACAAAGTAGGTATAGTTGTAATTAAATTGTACAGCAAATGATAGGTCCTCACTAATAGAAATAGAAATTATGGCAGAACGCCTAATCCCGGCAATAACAATATTAAACCAACGATATTCTGTATCTTAGTAAATTTTTATTATTGTGTCATTTGTTACTTTTAAAAATGACAATATTTTTATCGCAATATGAGATCCATTCAATAAGCAGTGTGCAGTGAGATACGTCGCGGTCATCCTTCTACAGCAGAGCACTTTAATAACATTTACACAATACATTGAACTTCTGCAAAAATATTTATTGATATAAATTTCATTCCATTAAATATCCAATCCTTGCATCATTACTTGATAATATTAATCATAAAATATATTAAAAAAGTTAGTGAAAAACGAGCAAACACTTTTTTATTTAATTTAAAGCTTTGAGTTTATTTTAATTAATGGATTTAACGTAAATGCTTACCGCAGTCTAAACGAGGGTTTCCTTAATTAGTGATTAAATAAATTGCTTGTGCAACTGCTGACCGACAGAAAATAAAGGTAAACTCAGAAATAAACCTCAACATTTGTTGATTAAAATCTTAGTAAAAGAAATTCATTTATTACTTAAACATGTACATTTAATTTAATTAATAACTTTGAAAAAAACATGTGCGGTTTTTGTAATATTAATATAGGTATTCATAATTTTTATAACCTATAACATAAGCTAGAAATCTGGATGAAAAGGAATGCAAAATGAAATATCACAATAAAGTAGGCCTGTCGTAAAGGGACGGATGTCCTTACTTACATTTTATAGCCCAATTTTTCAAGACATTGAATATTTTGACGGATAAAAATGATTCATCTCTCAAAGGAATTTACTAAAAAATTGTTAAAGCCTGTAAAATAAATTATAACAAAGGGCTATTATTAAGCTATACGGAGTATTAATAGTTTATTTGCTCTAAGAGACTTACGTATTTTAATCTTTACCTATTGATGCATTAAGTACTTACGAAGTGGATCTGTTAAGTACAACCGTTATTAATTGACCACAGCCTCCTGAAATGTAAGAGGTGAAGTTTAGGTCGGCTCTCACTTAAGAACAGACACTCTACAATCAAAATCAATTAGTCCCACACTGGCTTACCAGTAAATTATTATATTATTTAATCGAACATTGTTTTGAACATTGGAAAATGAATTTACAGATGTATGCAATTTTTATTGTTTTTTCTAATATCTTTATTCTATCAATATTTATAAAAATAAACTTTACTCAGGCGTAATAAGATTACATGATAATGTTTATTCTATGCATTTAAATGTGATAATTCCTTTTAAAGATAACGCATTCATATATTTAAAAGGCAAATAAGAGGGAATTTCGTCCAGGAAATGAGGATTAACACGAGAAAGATAAAAGAAAAATTTCTACATTAATCAGAATTTAACGCTATTGTACAGAAACAAAGCTTTACAGAATCAAGTAATAAATCTAGTAGTAATCCTAATGCGTAATATTGTAGGTCCCTTCTTCTTTAAGGATATAAAAATTTTAAATATTCCTTGGGTCTATGTTTTTAAATATCTTTTAAAGTTTTTTAAAATTGCTTAACAGTAGAGCTTTCTATCTTCTCAGCTAGCTTACTTCTGCACCTATTTTGTTTCAGTGTGACGAACATTTTCCTGGTGAACCTGTCCGTAGCAGACCTGCTGGTGACGCTTTTCTGTATGCCGGTGCAGATCGCTAAGGCAGTCACGTTGCTCTGGTACTTTGGGGAGGTTATGTGCAAGACTGTCAACTTCCTACAAGGTTATTACTAAAGTGTGCTTACGAAAGACTTTACAAATTACATTTGTTTCAACAATGAGGTTACTCTTACGGTGATAAATCTGAATATAATAAGTTAATGAATCGATTTAGTTTAGTATCATTACATTTGTACACGAGGCACGTCTCTCGAGATGTGCGGCGGTAATGGCACGTCCTTACATTAGCTCTAATTCTGAATAAATTACGTGTTCGATTATTTCGCTGGCGATAATCTGAAGATTAATTACCTCTGTTTCATTTATGTATGGGAATTATGTTAACATCCCATCTTATATTTTAAACACTGTTAACTTTATTTAAATTCAAATTGTGTTAATTCAACACTTTTTTGACTTTCCAAATTATAATTTCAAATTTCACGTATGTTGTCACATTCACAGGCGTAGCGGTGGCTTCTAGCGTGTTCACGATCACGGCGATGTCTGTGGACCGGTACCTGGCCATCACGCAGTCCCTCCGTCAACCTTGGATGCCTTCGCGGCGAGGAGCCTGTCTCCTGCTCGCGGTGCTGTGGCTGGTCGCCTTCGTTATCTTCGCGCCTTTACTGGTAGTTGCATCCGTGGAGAGGGAAGTCGTACCTTTACTCTCCAGAACTGAAAATGGGTCTGTGAGTATTGTTCTTATTCATTATTTTGTATTTTGGTGTAGAAATTTGTTGTGTGTATGTTGAGGTCTTATCTTGCATTATCATAGCCTGTTTTAAAAGGAATTTTTGAGAAAAGTCTTATCAGATGGCATTTAAAATGTACGGAACCGTGTTGATTTTTGTCTAAATCGCCATTGAAAAGGAGTTGAATAAAATGAAACTGAATAGAATTTACAACAACAAAGGCCTGGACTTACGACAGAAGTCACTGCTTTAATACTAATTTATTGTGAATGGACAGAAATCTTTTTGCCTCTCACTGGCTGCGTAATTTGACAGCTCGAAGCATTGTACCGACGCTAATCAAATAAAGTAACTTCTTGGAAATAATTAAACTTCTTGCATGAGTAGTTTTGCTCCCTTCATCAAATTTATTGTCCAACGCTTTGATCTTTAACGTCAAGAATTGTTTAATAAATATTTTAGAGGTGAAGATTTCAGTTTATATAGAGCTGTTATTAATTAAAATGTCTTGTAATATAACCTTAAGGTAATAACTTAGAAATTCTTGAAAGGCTATGCCAATTTACGAATACTTCAATTATTCGAAAGATTAACAAAGTAGGTGGTAAAAAGTTAATACACATTATAGTTAAAGTCCCACATAACATTCATTAATATTATAGGTACCATCATCTCAATACAATTCCATTGCTGGTTATATTGATATTTCGTTTGAAGATGTTTGATTTAATATTTGTTATTTTTTTATAACATTGTTGTGTAACAAATATTATTTTATAAACAAAATCTTATTATGTTATTGGCTAAATATTAATTCCGAGAACTATTACAGGCATTTGAATTATTCTGTAAGTTAAATTGAAGGCTTCCCTTCTGTAAATTGTCCGGAACGAGAACAAGAATCTGAAGTAGATCGGATTTGAATTTCTCTGGAAGTTTAACGGGAATGTATTTAATAATTTAGTAGAAAATAATTTGAAATATCTATAACAAATAAAATAATAACCTGAAATTTCAGGCAAATATTCAGACGCTACAATTAAATATACAGCTAGCTTTGAAAGAAATGTTTGTAAAAAGAAAAGAAAATTATGAATTATTTTTCGTTCATATTGTATTTAATTACGTTTTCGTCGAAGGTACGATAATCAACAATTTGTATGTTAACAAGTACAAACATCGCAATGAATCTCATTAGGACTGAAAAATATATTTCGCTATTCATTCGACATTAAAATCTGTCAGACTTTTACACTCTGATTTCTTTTGATCTGATTAAACGAAATTAAATGCGATTGTTTTGTGATTTAACACAATATTCCTTTAACGAATTTTTAATCAAATGCCAACCATTGAAGAGCCTTTGTTATTTAATATCGTTCTTTAAATGTTACTGGTTCTCTACATTTAAACAAAACAATACTCAGATTTAACGACCGTATTCTGAAACGTCATTTAAATATGTCTTAGCGTCTAGTAAGGCCACGTTTAATCTCCAAATTCCTTTAAAAAAGTATTACATTTTGTTATTAGATACTGGTGGAGAGCAGTATCGAGTTTTGCACAGAAAAGTGGCCTAACTCAATAAACAAGGAATTGTTCGGCGCATTCAGCTTTGTTCTGGTGTATGCAATCCCAGGTTAGTTAATTTAGTTATGTTTATTAAAAAAAATCTATGATACTAAGTGATTTTGAATTGATAGTAATACTAGCTATCACCCGTGACTCCGTACGCGTGGAAATAAAAAAAATCCACAGTAATTAGCTTATGTGTGTTTTACAGACTGTTCTCTATATATGTGCCAAATGTTATCGAGATCAGCAGTTTAGGCTACAAAGTCTAATAAACATCCATCCATCCATCTTTCGTATTTATAACATTAGTCAGATAACTTTCGGAATTATAATGTCTTTGTGTAAATAAACATAATAAAGTGCAAAGGAATTAAACAAATTAAAAATAAATATTAATTGGTTTGGTTTTAACGAAATTTTCGCTCAAAGCTTTTCGCAGATTTAAAAGCAATATATCAAGCTCGTGCATGCGAAAGCTATTTAAATGTCTAAATGCTTCAATGGAAAATCAATCCATGTGATCCGACACAGCGACCGTTCACTACACACACTTCAACAACTTGGATGTGGTACTTTAATACATATTTCTATTTTAAATAACAAAATATCAAATAAAATTTTAAAACACAACTACATGGTTTAATTACATGGTTCAACAAATCCAAAAAAGTAACAGTTTTCTGATTTCGCAATGTAAATGGATTAATTTCGAAACCAAAAAAAAATTTAAATCGAAAACATGTAATTAATTTTCATTAAAAAATGTGAACAATGGAATGTTCTGTCAAACTAATTTAATTAACAAAATGAACGATTGGTGTTTTTACGTCGTCTAAAGGAAATAAAACCTACCTGAAGTGTGAATAAAGACACACCTTCGTAATATAGCGGGATAGTTTCAGCTCTAATATTGCTTTGTTTCTAGATTTGGTCTACTTTAGGAAACATAACTATTAATGAAAAAGTAACCATACATATAATATATCTAAATGAAATCTTACATTTAAAATTAATCACACTAATATTATAAATGCAAAAGTTTACTTGGATGGCTGCATGTTTGTTAGAGTTTGTACCGTAAACTGCTGAACGGATCTCGTTTAAATTTGACAAAGATGGATAGAATAGTCTGGAAAAAGATGGGCCACTTTTTTTTATACTACGCGGACAGAGTCGGGGCCTAAAACTAAAGCTTGGTAAAGTAATCGAAGTTGAATTTTGTTTTACAAATCTAGTTACCCTATAGCAATTTATACCTAAAAATAGGTACTTCGCATGTCCATTTATTTATCCATCAAGTTCGTTGGCAATTATTCTCAGTTCCTCGTATGTAGAAGTGTTTAAGAACTCGTACGATAGACAGGCATGAAATAGACAGACAAATTGCACATCAAGGCTGTATGCAAGTTTGTATCGAAGTTTTATATTAGAAGGTTATTCTTGCTGATTTAAAATAGATTTGTTAAATCAACTATATCCCAACTGGTACGAGTTTAGGGCCTGTCCTACCTAATTGCAAATTGTTTGATAACACTCCAAAGTGTGTGTGATGGAAATATCGGATTTTGTTCCCTTATCTGATAGTGACGTCATTTTTAAGATATCTGAAGCTCTATCAGCCAGTGGCGGGAGAGGTTCTTACCGGATATACCGAGCTTATGACTCAGCCCATTTTTAAATATTTTAATATTATTTTGTAAAATTTTCAGGTTCAATCGTAGTGGTATCATACTCGTTGATGGGCCGGCGGCTGTGCTCGGTGCTGCCGCCATTCGACCAAACGGAGGGCAGCGCCAACAGTCAACAGGTATTCTATTAATAAAGTCTTTTTACCAGTGTTTTAAGTTGTGTTCAATTTTAATTTTTCTTTTTCTTCAAGTGCCATCTTCTATCGGAGCTTGGCAAACATTATAACAAATGGAATTTGTGCTTTTATTACTATTAGCGCAAATTTTTTAATCAAGGCGTACGTCTTCTTCCTGGATTTCATTTTACTTGTATCTTTCCTTGTGCTATTTTTTTTAATAATTTCAAGTTTAATAACGGTATAGTTCATGATAATCACTTGTCATTTGTGTGGCAGCGTTTGCGGCTGGTGCGGGAGAGGAAGCGCGTGGCGTGGATCCTGCTGCTGCTGGCGGTGCTGTTCGCGCTGTGCTGGCTGCCGTACAACATCCTGCAACTCCTCATCGACGTCAATGCAGTGCAAATCGACTCCGGAGCTTTGTTCCTGCCATACACATTGCTTCTTGGTAAGCAGAATATCTTTTGGCAACCGAGCAAGTGGTCACGTTAATCCACAATGGCGAAGCGCCCGCTGCCCAGAGACAATCACAATTACAGATGCGTCACCTACCATTAATCGACGGAGGAGACGAGGGATATTTCCCCATTCCAATGTGTCTCCTCCGACAAGTTCACTTTACATTCTTTCTATACAAGAAAAGGGTGGAAAAATATAGAGACTAAAAATAGGCCTCCAACATGAACGTAACTTATTTTTTGATTGTGTACCCAAAATTAATGGAATAATGTTATAATTCCAGGTCACGCAAATTCCGCCATCAACCCAATAGTGTACTGCCTGATGACGCGCAACTTCCGGCGCTCGCTGCGCAAGCTGCTCTGCCAACACCCCGGTAACATACACTCTACTACTCACCTCCACGTAAGTTGACACTGCTACCTCATTGTTGTACTGCCTGATGACGCGCAACTTCCGGCGCTCGCTGCGCAAGCTGCTCTGCAACATGCATGTTTATTAGAGTTTGTGGCCTAAACTGCGGAACGGATCTTGATGAAATTTGACATAGATGTAGAACATAGCCTTGAAGAACATATAGTATATGTATTTATGTATTTTTTTATTCCTCGCAGATAAAGTTGCGGGCGAAAGTTAGTGTGTAGAATACGACGAACAATTTAAGACTGGTACAACCCTAGCATGTCAATAAAGTCGTTATACAAAACGGGGTGACATGAGCTTCGTAACTTTAAAACGAAAGTATTGAACTAAAACACATTTCCTTTGTAACTGGAATGCAATGGATAATTTTTAATATGTATAGATGCAAGGGTTACGTCAAAAGTCCAACACGTCTAGCATGAGGACCACCACCGTCACCTTCCGCAGCAGCGCCAACCAGAGCGCCAACCACAGCGCCAGGCACAGCGGCAGGCAGAGCGCGCGCGCTCCTCACACCGCGCAGTGCCAGCAGACACCTGTCTGGAAAGATCGACACCAGGCACGCTCTGCGCAGTACCTTTAAACTTACACTTTATATGCAAATAGTGATTAATGATATTGTTCCGAGAATTATAAATATCGTCTAAAATGTAATGGAAACAGATTCAAAAATATATATGTATAGGACACATCGTTGACACTTCACTTTAGGAATATTTCACATGACCCAGTATTTATCTGTTGATAGCTCCTCAAAACAAAGTCTATATAATTGTATTTAAATTAATTGCCAATAGATGTCGTGGTTTTTATTTTATTTTACCAAAAGATGGAGCTCATTATAATTTTGTAAAAGGTTTTATAACATGCCAATACAATCCATAAGTTGGCACTAAACTTTAAAAGTTATGGGGTGAAAAAAAGTTGTTCCCTATGTCTAGTTTACATGTCTGGTACAAATTGTGTTATTTTTGATTTTAATTGTAAAATTTGAAATTTGCTTTTAATATTTGTAATTGACCACCGAAATATCTAATTAAAGTAATGAATTCGTTTGACAACGAATAGAATTGTTTGTTATAGAATTGAATGTTATGTTTTAATTGTTTTTAATGTTGTTTTAAAAATATATTTGTAAAAATTGTAACATGTTAAATGTAGTTTTCTCAGTACTGTTTGAAAAGATTTGTATTTTTTTATTAATTTGACGTAAAAAATGGTATTCAAATATTGTGTGATAAGCAACGAATTAGAATAAAACTATTTTTCTGTAGTCATGTCACCGAGAAATTGTAAATTTTATAATTTCAGAATCTGACTAGGCATTCTAAAGATCCGCTCAATTGACATTGATTTTACATCATGCCAAGTTTGATTGTAAATATAGTCGTATAAGGATATCTGGCTCGGTGAGACGCTGCTATCGCGGTAAGTTATTTAAAAAAATATACAAAAACGACATGACGAAAGCCACCAATAGGTACGAAAACAAACTCCATATAGACAAGGTAACTTTCGATTGGCTATATCGCTTGTAAATTCGACAAATTGTATCAGTTACATACAATAGTTATCTATAAGTAAACTACAATAAAAATATTTAAAAAGTGCATATTTTGCTTTTCCATTGACATCGACGATAAAGTGTTACTGTATCTAGGGGGCGTGTTAGTTTTTTTAACATTAACAGAAGAGTAGTCATAATTTAATTTGACTTATGTCCACCGGGTCAATACATTCTCGGTCTTTATGTTTTCAAATTAGATCTGTGACTGATGTATGAATGTATGTGATATATTTGAAATAGACATAGTAATCTCGAATAAAAAAAAAATAGTTATTAGACTAGATATTTATTTGTTATAGTATGAAGATATACATTAAAAGAAACATATTGCTATCTCATTTCTTTCAAAGGGAATGAGTGAGATGACAATGTGGTTATACTAATATTTCAACAGTGGAAACTCACGATTAAAATTTCATATTAGGATAGAAGTGGCACAAGTTTTTGTTAAAACATTTTGATTTGTATTATTTCAATGTAGATTCTAAATGTTTGTAAGCTTTAAATATGTTCTAGTCATATTGTTCTATTAAGTTACGCTTCTTCATACTTAAGGAGATATTTCTATTTTCATTGAATAATGTGGAAAGTTAAAACGTTTTAAAAATTAAATTTTTGTACACAAATAGATTTATTATGAAACCTTATTTTCTTTGTATTAGAGGATATCGTATATTAAACCTATGCCTGTTATAAGGTTTACTTTTATTTTTATTTATAGTTATATTTTAATATAAATATTACCAAATAAATACGTCACTTTTATCTTTCACATTTTATAATTTTGCCGTAATCTTTAAGATATAAGAAATGTTAATGTAATTAGATAGAGATGATTATGTGATGAAAAAAAATAAATTATTTGTAAATTTAAATACATTTATGTTTTTATTCAACACACGATTTTTAGTATACACAAAATTAATTGGATAATTTAAAAAGTTAATTTTGTTCGTATCAGTCATGTATATGGAACTGCAATTAGTGGCAAAGAATTAGCGAAGCCTGAAACAAAGAGCTTTATATGGTGCTCATTTCCGGTGTCAGCTTTGAAGTTGTTTCGCTTAAGGACTAAGCATTATCTTTAAGTAGAATTCCTGGTTTCATTTTATTTACTGTTATAGTATTGCTATACTAAACCGGACATAATCAAATGTATACTACACGTCAACAAGCGTACTTTTGTCGCATTTACGTATTTAAATTCAACATATAATAGTTTTGATGTCGCCCAAACGATTATTTCGTTAATTAAAAACTTTATCAGAATAAAAAGCTATCAAACAAGTATTAGTCATTACCCTCAATCTTAAAGAAAGTAATAAACCCTAGTTTTTTGTTGTTTTAACAGAATAATCTAGGATCTAGGATTATCTGTTAAAACTTGCAACTATTCATTTCCTTTAATAAAATCCCCTAACATTATGGGGGTTTCTGCTTTAAACTATTATAATATTAAAAGCATATATCTACCCGACTCTTAATTTAGGTATGAACTTATTTTTATTAAGACCTCAACTGTTTCTCTGGTTAGTCCTGAAATATGTTACCATAAATAAACGATGTATAACGCCGCTGTCCGGCCTATCGTATACTCTGTGGTTATCCTACTTGTTTAGGATGGTTTAGTATAATAAATTATCGTGTAAATTATTAACATGAATCTACTTGGTATTAACGTAAGTTTATTTAAATTGTTTGATGAAACGCATTTTTATAATTAAATTTTTAAAACTAAAATATAGGGTAAAATATCTTCTTCATATTGTAATTTTTAGTTAATTATAATCTATACTAATGTTATAAAGAGGAAAGATTTATGTTTTTGTATGTATTGAAATAACTCAAAGACTACTGGGCCGATTTCAAAAAATCTTTCATTGTTAGAAAGCTAATTTATCCCTGAGTAACACAGGTTTTACCTTTTATTACTTTTTAATTTAACGGGGGCGAAGTCGCGAGCAACAGCAAGTGTAAAATAAATACAATTAAAGCAAATAGACTTAGTAACTATAATACCACGTAAAATGCTTGATATTTTAAGCATTAACAGATTATCTAAGCGACGTTCGCCTTACCCGATCATTCAATCATTTACAAGTCGCAAACAACTTGACTAAAACAAACAACGCGAACGCTTTAGTTGTTTCAAACATCAACAACATCTGAAATTTAAATGAGTTTACGACAATATTATGTTAATCAAAGCCTATGTTTTCTATTAATTTATGTTAAAAATCATAACTGTGTTAAGTTATAAACAATAACTCTAAATACAGCAACATTTTTTGCAAATTTATATTTTATTAGCGAAATAACAAATTTATTAAACTGGAATTTTAACTAAAACGTTAAGTAGACGGACAAAAATAGGTCAAGTGTTAGGCCTTAGACATATTTAATGCGCTACTTTAGTTTATATTTTTCGTTGTTACTTTGTATAACACTAAACAGAAAACAAACTTTAGAAGTATAAAAATAACCATATCAAATACGAAAGAAAAGTTTTCAAAAAGTTATAATGTGAATATGAAACGGACCTAGCTTGTAAATTCCGAGTTTGCAGCGAGGACGTAAAGTTGCAAATACTATAACGAGGGAAAAGTTATCCCGGAGTCAAATTCGAATAAAAACTCGTAAGGAAATGCTAAACTAGTCAACAGCTGTTTGCTATTGTTAAATGTTTTCACACTTTTGAGAATATTGTGATTTGCAAATAATAAGCTTATACTTAATAGCGAAATCAGAATATTAAGAGCTACTTTTAATTTTGTTAAGTTTTTAAGTATCGATATGTCAATGTGTATAAAAGCAGGTAACTGGCTTACCTACAGCTGTAGTAGTAATGGTCATTATTAATTTGAGAAAACGACCATCCCTACTAAATTTGAAGTGAATTGTCAAACTAATCTAAATTATTTAGACACTCTATAGGAGAGGACAATATGGTGCGTGAAATTTGACACTAACAGGTCTCAACTTATACGATCTCGTTTACTTTACTGGAATGGGTAAACATTTAACTGGCATGTGTATCTATGTGTTAAGCTAATTTAAATCAAATGCCTCTTATTTAAATAACAGTGTGCAATCTATATGTGGGCAGCTTGCACGCGTCACGCGACCTCACATACGCCCGGAATCGATATTCGATTAAAGTCTTAAGACATGTCATGAGCTGCTCGGCGTCGGACACAACACGCCTAAGGTATAAATGTCGTTTCGCACAGAGAAATGAAGTCAACGAACATATCTAAAGACAAGATATCTCAAATAATACTTAATATTAACGGCTAATCTGCTACAACAGTAAAACCTCCGAAAACATTCTTTGTATAATTTTATTGTATGTAACCACAGTTTGAGGCAGTTACGAATTATTACCATCCGCATATCTTGTTTAAGGTATCGAAATATCACGTTTAATATGAATGCAAGAAAATAGGAAATGTCCGCGGACTTAAGCGGCTTCATTATTTTACATTCAGTACGCAGTTGGAAAATATTTTCATTTCTACGGCCGACTGGTGAGATGAGATTGCAGGGAAAGCTGCATGGAGACGAGATTGTCGGGACAGACTGGCGGGTTCGTTATTAAGTATAATAAAGTAGATATTCGTAATACTTATTAACATTTGATATGTAATTACAAGCAATTCTTGCAGTTTTAATCATGCATTTTTGTTGTATGTTTAAAACTACTATTTTTTTGAGACAATATTAAATTAGACCACTAATGCCTTGCACACTGGCAGATTTTTACGTAAAGAGAAAATTATTGATATATCGAGACTTCATTTAAACCAAACACTTTCTTCCCCAGTGCTCTCTAATCTATTCATTGAGTGCGTGTAAGTAATGACGCACGCCACATTAATTACAGCGAGCTAATGAAAAGGTCAAATCACAAGAAGCTACCTAAGTATTAATGCATCCATTAACAGTATTAGCGTGTTACTTTGATATAATGGCAACACTCACCAAAATAACTTATGCCACTTGTATATTAGATAAGTTATTTTACGTGAAAATAGACAAGTTTTTGTTTAAAATATATTAGATGAAAATTATTATTCCTTAATGAACCTTGGCCTAAAGATTTCTCTAAGTTTATGCTAAAGAGCTGCTCTGTTAAGAGTAGAGTCAGCAAAAAATGTGAAGATAAGAGATCAAAGCGTACTCTCGTAG